TTTTAAGCAGATGATTCTAATGTGCAGACCAGTTTGGGAACCACTGTGAAGGGCCTGGAAGCATCTTCAACGGCAAGCACTTAGCAAATAACCCGAGTGCAAATCAAGAGAAAGGAATGAAAAAGAGGCAAATTGAAGAATGAGCTAAGAGGAGCTGAAGACATGCACGTGAGTGAGAGTCTGTTCTCTCTATGGGCAATGGAAGAAATCGGATAAGAAGCTTCCCTGATGCAAGTGTAGACAACTCAAATGGGGTGCTAGTTTTTAGCGACTTGATGTTTAACGGATGAACTGAAATCCACTGAGCACAGCGCTCCTATTAAATGGGGTTCCTCTCTGCCCTGCTCTTGGGGAGAGAGCGGCTATTTGGTTCGTGTCTATAATAGTTAGAAGCTGGTTCTTTAGGCACCAGGCTCTGTGGTGCCTACCTCCAGGGCAGCACGGGGAGTCTTCTGAGGGCCTTTTGCAACAGCAAAGACTGGTGGGGTTAGATCTAGGTGGGGCTAGAGCACTTGTTTTTGAGTCTTTAAGAAATATATTTAAGTTCCTTAAAAACTGGAAGTTGGTTGAAGAAGCCTCAGTCCTCTACTATGCTAGGCATGAGAGTTCCTTGTGATGTTATCTTGTGGAAACTTAGTTTGAAAATTTTGATGGTCAAGGGCGCTGAAGAATTACTGCTTTTAGTTGGAGTGTAGGTAGAATTTTGGCCGAATGGAACATTACTACTTCGTCTTGGCTGAAGTCCAAGAAAGGATAATTAGCAAATGATTTAGTGGTGGTCCAACACTTATTCTAGTTAACACTTTGCTTTATTTTAAGTAACGTGCGTTGTCCGCATGGGCCTAGTGTTCATCACTGAACGGAAACATTTGAATTTCCAAAGCAAATCTACGTATCACAAGTCTTATATTCCAGTTAGGTAAATTCCTGTACTTAGAGCTGATAGATCTTTCTGCTTCAGATAAAGATACAAGCCAATGATGAATGACATCCACAAGTCACTGGTTTTCTGTTGGTTTTGTTTTCCTCTTTTATATTTCATGGTAATATATCTAAGTATGATATAACTAGACCAAAAACACTTGAGTCATTCCTCCCTCTAGGGTTCATCAGTTTACCGTTACAAGGATCTGGGGTAACCTACCCTGTTGTTTGTGAACTGCTAAGATGAACCCAGGAAATTCAAACTCACTTCAGAAAAAATGTGGGCCAGGAGTAACCTTCTATGTATTCCTTCCCACCGTCTCATTATAGTCTATCGTTGTTGCAATAAATGTCATTTTTTTTTAATATAAGAGGGATCTCTTAAGAAACTCTGAATTCTACTGGTTTGATAGGAGAAATAGCATCTGGTGTCCTATTTATAATTTTCCAAAGACTGTGAAGTCAAGGTCCTTGTGCTTGAGAGTAGTTTGAGTTTTTCTTTCCACTAACTACATTTGAAGCTTGTCCCTTCTCCTGCTGAGCTCACTGTAGCATTCATGGATGGTGTACTTGCTTCCTCGATAACGTTTAGGGATTCAGAAAAAGAGGAGGTCCTGTTTTGATCTGCTTAAGGGATGCCCACTAAGAACATACTTGCGAAATCTTGCCCCAAGGAATATTGCTGCTAGGCCACTGAAAATCAGGTAAGTCCTTGGAAATACTATACTTTTGCATAAGAGTGGTTCACTAATACACGTAAATATAATCCTAAGATTCTGAAAACCAAATAAATGATAAACTTGTTACTGGCTAGAAAATAGCGAAAAAAGAGAAACAGAACTATTTTCTCTTTTCTGTAGTGGAAAGTTGAGCTAATAACCTAGTCATTTTTAGGGAAACATGTGGTTTCTATCTGCCCATGTGAGCTCTTCTGCATTCATCTTCTGTTTAATATATGACACGCGTCTGTCTTCCTTGTCAACATGCAGATCCTGATGATACGCACAGGCATTATTTAAGTCCTTGCCCCACCCCTGATCTCCACACAGCGCCCGGCATTTAGTAAGTACTAAATAAGTAGGTACTGGATGCACAAAGGAATATTGGTATTTGAAGACAAAAGCACAACATTCTAATAAAAAGCCAGACTCGGGGGCTGAAGTCAGAGGGTGTGAAAGATGGGGCCTTGGCTGTGGCCAGGCCTCCCGCACAGATGACCTGGGGCTGCTGATCCCTTTCTGGGCAGGAGCTCCCCGGCTCCTGTGGCAGAAGCCCAAGCTGGCCTCTCCTTCACTGTGGTCTCCCCAGCCGGCCACATCTTTGGAAGTTAGGCTTCTCTGTGACCTGAGTGGATTCTGGTCACCCTGCTATGGCCTCCAGTCCCATGAAGTATGCTCATGTCCGTGTGCTTATGTCTACACAGGCAAAACAACTCTTATAACATGGACATTTCTGGCAAAAATGACTTTCTTTTCTTCATCGGCCTTTTTCCTTTTTTTGTCAATAATAAAAGGATGGGAACGATGTCATGAGAGTGAGGGAGGTGCCCATGGATTATCTGTCAGCCATGGCTCTCAACCTGCTCAACATGGGGGTGGGGGTGTGGACTTTTAATTACGAATGCAACTCTTCACAGAGGGTCCTTTAAGGTCCTATAAATAAGAATTTGGCTCAGTCTTCATTAGGAATTTTTTTTAAATCTTCTGAATAGCAATTACTTCTATTCATTAAGTCTTGCCCTCATCCATGATCACCCAGGCAAAATTTACAAAAGGTGCCTTCAAGGTCCTTCCCAACTGCGCATCCTGATAGTCTCAGCCAGCTGAAAGCCACGTTTATTTCTAGAAATATGGATCCTTTGGTGGATTTTAAAATTTGTATAATATTGTATATAATATCTTTTTAGAAAATATATTTGAGCACAGTGTTTGAGCTTGTATATAAAAAAAGTTTAGATAATATCATGTATATACATTTTCTTCTAGTTTAGATTCTTTCCTAAGCTGTCTCTAATAAGAGTCATTTGATGTTTATTTTTGCAGTAACACAAGAATGTGTGAAAATGAGCTTTATTTTATTTCCTTATAGCCCACAGGTAGTCTTTTTCTATGAGATTTAAAAAAAAAATGCTTTGAGGGGCACCTGGGTGGCATAGTCAGTTAAGAGTCAGACTCTTGGTTTAGGCTCAGGTCATGATCTCAGGGTCTTGAGAGGGGAGCCCTGTGTGTTGGGCTCTGCACTCAGGGGGGAGTCGGCTTCAGACTCTCTCTCCCTCTGCCCCTCCTCCCCATGTTTTCTCTCTCTCTCTAAAATAAATAAATAAAACTTAAAAAAAAATGCCTTGAAAGAGATTTGTGTCTCAGAGAAGAAATAAGAGAAGTAAACATAAGGTTTCTCACAGATACTAAAAGGTACCATAAGTATCTATAAAAAAATAAATATGACCCAGTCTAAACACGGTGGAGGCTCCTCTCCTGGCAATCCTTAAGCAGCCCTCTGAAAGCCCAGCCGTAAAAATGATGTGATTTGATGCCAGCCACAATAGTGTGGAACATTCCCCAATTAAAAAAAACTGGATCAAGAAATAGTGGATTTAGGAAAATTACTAATAATGAATGGAAAGAAGCTTTCTTCTAAAGCACCAAACTCAACCACTTTCTTAACTGCTTGTATTCTTAAATCATTTAAAACACAAATTGCTTTCGATAAAAGTAATCATCTATGTGCAGTTCCTGAGCAGAGACCGTCCTGAAGCAGTTGTTTCAGGTTTTCTTCCTCTCTGAAGAATTTATTAACCGCGAAGGAATTGCTTGAGACCATCTCATTTGAATGAGATCTCGGTATTAGAATTCGAGAGGGAGGCCAGCGTTTACGTATGAACCAAACAACCCACATCGACGATTCTTTCTAGTGGTGTAAACACCAAATAGCTTCAGTTTGTCAAAGTCACCTAATACTATTTTAAAACCTAGCTCAAGATTTTTTTTTTTTTTTTTTTTTTTTTTTGTGGAAAGCGTTCCTTTGCTGCAGACTGAAGGGAGGCAGGGAGGGTGGACTGTTAAATATTCACGCTGATTCACAAAGCGAGCTTTGCCCAGATGCTCAGGCAGAGCCTGATAGAGACTTTGGAAAAGGGAATTCATCCAAGGAACAAAAGCTCCCACCTCTGACCTCATTATGGTGCCTCCCGGGAGTTTAGAAGGATTGCCTTGGTCAGACAGCTCGGGGAACCGCGGGGACTGCCCGTGAACTCGGTTCTGAAGGAATGATCCCATTCTTAAGTTTGTTTACTCTTCGACTTTTTCTTCTCCCACCCCGTCCACAGAAAAGACCCCCAGAATCTTCTATTTTTCTTTTTTCTCTGATTTAAGAATTCCAAAATCATTTGCTTATCCATGCACTGGAATGGCCAAAGGAATCCCTAAATCCGGGCTGTTCCTTTTGGGGGGGGGGGGGGGGGGGGGGGGCAGGGAGGAAAGGGACCTTTTCTTGTTTCCTTATCAAATTTAGTGCCGAGCAAGGTCTGGGTTTTCTGAATAGGCTCACAGGTTTGAATTTCTTTGGACTTTTAAAGTCTTTCGTACTAGAATATCGTGGAATACACAAAAATACACTCTAAAACACTGGCCAGAGAGTCAAACAAAAAAGCCTGTAGCTGCGGCTAAGTTACCCACAGCCTTCTCCAATTTTCAACTTATTTACTAGAAAATAGAATCAAAATATGTTGTAATTATATTATAATCCATTTAGCAAGAAATACAGTATAGTCAGAAACCGAAGAGAGCGAGGATGTAATATTTCTGAGGAGGAAATCATCTTTGATCCATGTTATAGAAGGCCTGATCCAAAGGACCTTGGCACTCGTAAATAGCTCAGCCTTTCAACAAATAACAAAAGGTGGTTGTGCAAATCGAGAAAAACTGACAGCAATTCAGGGCAAGAGACTGAAAGACCCAAACTATGCATGTAGCTCTCTGTCGAGATACAGGGCCGCAGAAATGGCTCGGCCACAAGGCAAAGATGATGCACAGAAGAGACACTGAGGTCCAAGACCAAGTAAATGACTAACAATCAAAAATAGTTTCAATTTTTATTATGAATGTCCAAAGTGACAGCATTCTGTGAAAGTGTCAGGTTCTCATTGATTCGATTTCAAGAGACCATAGACTACCGCATTCCAAGTACTTTAATTTGTGACAGAGCCAAAACAAAGAAAAGAATGATAAAAATATTCTTTTAGGTGTCAAGAGTGCTCTTATTTGCATTTTTGCCATTGTTTTTTGTTTGTTTGTTTGTTTGTTTGCTTTTTCCCTGCAGGTCTTGTGAACACTGATAATTTCCAAAACACAAAATCCTGGTCTGGATACTTGCAGCAAATTTTTTATAATCTCTGCCTGAATAAGAAGCTAATAAGAAATGTACTTATAAAGTATGTGTACAATACAATGTAATATGCCTGTTCATTGTCATTTCCTTCCTCTCCCACTAGGCTTCTCATCTACCACCTGGGTACCTGCTGTTCATGATAACAGGACACTGAAGGCTGGAATGAAATGCCCAGAAGACTATCTTGAACCCTGGATTTTCTCAAAGCTGCATTGTTTTTTCAACGAAAGCTCAAGACTTTCAATGTTTGAGAGGTCCCAGGAGATGACTCATGATGGATTAAAGTCACCAGTCAAGAACTACAGTCCAAGCATGTTGTGTTCAAGAAAAAAGCCGTGGTTTACTAAAGCTATGGTTCTAGTAATCTGTAGTTCCAACACAATATGACTTCTTCCCCCTCCGAAGGGTTTCCTCGCAATCTGCCCTTTCCACCACTGGTACTGGATGATGCTACAGATGGAGTGTGTTGCCATTTATAGTCCAGTCAGTTCGGGTCCTGTGGAAGTGCATATCTCTTACAGATGCGATACTGTTCATCTGAATGCATCCTCAAAAAGAACAATTATGAACTGGAAACTCATAGAGTTTGTGTTTCAAATTTATAAAATTAAACCTGCTCCAACAGGTAATACAGGGAGGCATGCTTGCAACCTCTGGATTCAATCAGAAATAATGCCTGAGAGCACAGAGCCTTCTCAATAGGTAACGGCGGGTTCCTTTTAACGCTTCCTTAACCAAGATCCGATGTGATGCACATTAGAACTTTGAAGCACGTCTCATTTATTTCTACAAGGCCTGGGACACAGGAAGCTGCCAGAACTTCATTCATCATCTTGCCTGTTGACAAAAGGAACAATAACTGGTCATCACTGGGCAACGGAATAACTTTTCCTAGTTTTTTTTTTTTTTCCAAGATAATTCCTAAAGAAGAGATGGTGTCAATACAACAGCAAATGTTTCAATGTTTGATGAATTTCTGTGCTGTAAAATCCCATGGCTTCTTCCAGGACAGCGGGAAGAACCAGAGTGTGCAGTGTTCATCTCTCTCTCTCCTCGGGCTGGAATTATTCAGGAGAGACCCCTGTCTTGGAAGTCAGCATGCCCAGACTTCAGATGCAATTCCACCAGTAACTAACAACATCACCAAACCTTGCTGGGCCTTCACTCCTTCACCTCTAGACTAAGAAGGCCTCAGTGGATGAGTTCTAAAAAGAAGGCCAATCCAACCAAATTCATGGCTCCGTGGGGTCCTGCCTCCATGGCTCCATACAGAGCACAGCCACGTATAACCATTTCAGTCCTTGGCAATGGTGAGGCTTACAAAATACCTAAACCTGGGCTGCTCTGGTCCTAACGTTCTGCTTGGAGTTTTGAACGAGCTGAACATTCAAAGTGGCAAAATATCTGTTAGTTTGTGAAGTCAATTAAAATCTTAAGTGAGGATGTCATTAAGCTATATGGGCGTAAACTTCTGAAAATACACATTTCCACATCTTTTGCTGTCTTAAGATCTAAGAAGTATCTTTGCGGGGCGGGGTGGGGAGGTACCTGCTGGTTTTCTTAAATCAAGAAATAATTATATCAAAGCTGAAGAACACATTAAAAAAGTAGAGTAGCATGGAAGCATCCTGTAAGAACATACTCTGTAGCCATAAAATTCAACTAGTTGGACACGGTGAAGTACGTATAACTAGTAACTTTGCCATGGCACATGTTGCAGAGGTGAGGTCTAGACTCAGGAGGTCTGACCCTAAACTGATGCTTTCAACAATGATGCCAAGTTACCTCACCACACCTTGTTCAAACGATATTGAACTGGAGCTGAAAAGTTTAATGGGACTTTCACAGGTGCCATAGGTACAACCAGGAATTAGGTTAAATATTTGGAAATTTGGGGCAATTGGTTCCCATTAGTAACAAAATGATAAGTTTCAGCGGTTGAAAAACTATATGCAGTCATTCTGGATTTGATCTTTATGCCTCTGTGGCTGGTAAAACTTAGATGATGCCAAAACAACCGTTTATTTATATCATATTATTATATTTATTTTTGAGGGCATCCCGGCTGTGACATGTGGTAAGAAAAATGCGGAATAAGTTTTTCATCTTTCTACTGTGTGTTTGGCTTAAGGGGAGACACAACTCTGAAATGTGTGAATGATCCACACAAAACAAAACGGGCACCAAATGTCATCTATGACTTTGGATTATTCTAAGTGTTTTGCTAATGCGTTCATCCTTCAAGTGCTGACTTAAACGCTACTCAAGAGAAAACGACAATGATAATAAGCTCATCTTCACTATCAATAGCTACAACCCTAAAGTACCAGAGCCGTTTCCCTAAATCTGGATGAGATTTGCCAGGTTGTTAACAGGATAGGGTTGATGTCCAGAGCAAATCAGCATCTGCGTGGTAAGAGGCACCAAGACCACACTGGGGAACAAAACGAAAAAGACACAAATTTACTCAAATTGTAGGGTGGGGACATCCGGGAATGATCTAACACAGGCACATACACACCAACAAAGACTCAGTTTCCGTAGGTTTTGTTGCCAAGTAAGAGAATAGTTCTGTCCTGACAAACTTGAAATAAGCAAATAGCACATCTTTTATGGAATCCTGGCAAGAGTTTCTATGCCTGCGCCTTTCGGGGAGGTGGATATCCGAGGTATGCGATGCACTTGCTATCAGAGCGTGTAAAATGACCGAAATAGGTGGATATTAAAAAGTAACCATCCGGTACTCGTGCAAGAAACACTTCAGAGATGGAGAAAATGGTCCCAGAGCTTCTATCCGGACTGCTTTCCTTAGCAAAGCGCCTTCGCATTTATGAACTCCCTGGCTCTTACAACTGGGGCTCCAGCCTCCATGTGGAGCAGCTGAGATCAGAGGGCTTAGGTGACATGCCCAGTGTCATCTGGGAATGAGAGTGGCTGAGCCACCAAGCAGGAACAAGAACCAGGTCCCGATTGTGTCTCCACGCGGTGTCTCTGGCTAGTAACACTGCATATCAATGAATTCATTATTTATGACTATGATTCATCTCTTCTGCCAAGTTCCGGTGCTACCATTACCCCTCACCTATGAAGTGCCTTGCGAAGCCTGCCTCGCAAAACAGGTCTAACTGTGTCCATGACAAAATGGAGGTGTGGACAAGTGTCTTGCCCAGTGTCACGTGGCAAAGAGCAGAGCGGGAACTCAAGCCATGTGGCTTTAATCCCACAGCTCCCGCTCTTCCCATTCATCGCATGTGCCGTTCTGGCATATTCTGGACCACTCAGCCCAAGTGTCTCTACGTGCCGTGGAGCTCCATCTTGAGGTGCAGAGGCCAACACAAACTGCTCCATCTAAAGCCTCGTCACAAAAAAAGGACACCCAGCTGCTCTGCGGATCTGCAGCTGAGCAGACACTCCTCACAGGGAGCTTACTCCAAACTCCTTCAAGAGCTCACTCCATCTGTTTGCAGTTACCAGTGGGCTTCACTCTCCTCCTTAATAATGGCTATAATTTCATAGTAAAGAGTAGGAGGCCAAAACCCCCACTTGTCAATGAGAACATGGCACAAAAGATGACTTTTTTAAAAAATAAACTGAGTCACAGCAGTGCCTGGAGGTAATAGCTGAAGGCAATTGGTAAAGTTCTAGAACCAGTTTTCTGCAGCTCAAGTTGCCATTAATTGTGTATGTGCTGCAACTTAATTTTGAAATTCAGTCATTCTTTTATAAAACGGGCATAATTAAGGCAAATGGACATGGAGGTGTCCTTCTCTAGCTGAAACTCACTGGTGGGGGGGGTGGGGTCTGCTGGCTCCTGGTAACTTACATACATGCCTCACTCAATCGATACAAACCGTCCTGCAAAGCACAGTTTCATTAATCCCATGTTGCAAACCAGAAAACAGGTTCAAAGAGGTTAGTGACCTAGCCAAGGTGACACAAGGTGTCAGAGATGGACTTCAAGCTAAATGTGCCTGATCACAAGTATCTTATGCCTTTCCTCCGACAGATGCTTCACCCCCAGATATGTCTGGGCTACCAGACACGCAAATGGCCACCCCATATTGTGACCCTCATGTGGGACTGCTGATGAGGGGCCATCGGTGACCAGGACAGCAGGAGAGGCCATCTGCTTCCAGAACAGCTATATCCTTTCTTACTTGCAGAAACCCCGTTCTAGAAAGGGTGGCCAGGTCTCCAGGTCTATTATAGGGGTGGCAGAAGAGGGAAGGAGTAAGGACCAGGCAGTGTCTCCTCAGAGAACCCATCACAACAGGCCAGCTACATGGAGAAACAGAAATGAACTTAACTTCAATTACAACGTAAAGGCTTTGTGGTCTATTCTGCATTTTACCCCCTTGAAGTAAGTGTGTTCTGATTTCCAAATGACCCATTAGTAGGCTGGAAACTGCCGAAAGCCTAAAGAATCGTTTCTAAATTACAGTTGAGAAAGAGAATCTAGAGAGGCTCTGACCCCTTTTTCATTAATCTCCTTCATTTCTTCCTCAGCAAAACTCTCCTCAGAGCCACCAGTGATCAGCAAAGCTGACCGACCAGAATTCACTGCCCTCGTCTGTCTCTCCTGTTCTCCCCAAAAGGTGGAGGCGTGAGATTATGAAGCCAGCCACAGAAAACCTACCCAGAGTGTGATCTGTTCTGGCACGAATGCCCTGGATATATCACCAGTGGGCTAACTAAGGAGGTGATGGAGAAATACCAAGAAAACTAGGTCCTTGCAGACAGACTTTCAGATCCAAGCCTCAGCCAGCCTGCCCTGCCACGTCAAAAGGAAAGTGCCAGAGTTATTCATGGATGCCAGACCCCAATCTGCCTCGTCCAGCTGATCCGTCTGGCCAGCGCATATGGGAGCAGGAAGGTTGGCACAGATCTGAAAGTATCAGTGTGTGCAGACATGTTCTAACATCATTGGCTAATGCTTCATTGTTCTGTCGTTAAAAACCTACTTAAAATGTGTGGAGTGATGTCCCATTAGATTAGAACAGTACGAAGTTGAGTCTTTCCAAGTACCAAGTGTAAGAATAATTAAAATAAAATAAAAGCAATTATTCCCTATTAGGGAAGTTTATCGCTAAGACAGGGGATACCCAGGGCTCCTTTACTAAACTGAGATCACATTTCCTTTCCTACGTCATATCCACACACCTATTGTACATATAATCTTTGCGCATACTCAATCCCCACATAACAGAATGGTCATATTAGTGCTAAAACAGACCTTAGGAAGTGCAGGGCACAAAATTCTCATTCTAAACTTTAAAAAACTGAAGCTCAGAGGTCTCCCATTTGCCCAAGGGCACACAAAGATTGGGAATCTAGATGACGTTCTGAGCTCTTGTCCTACAAAACACTGTATGCCGTAGAATGTCCTGTCCTCATTTAATTCAAATATCTCAGATACTACATCCTGGAAAATGATGCTGTTTGGCACGGATGATTCAAATATAACATGGACATTTGAATGATCCAAAGATAACAGACTTCTGGACCATAGCAGACTGCACTGTTTCCATAGGTGGTGAAGTCCAAACGCCTGTGAACCAGTGGAAGGGTGTAGACATGGGATGTGGCAGAACCCTCCCAGCGAGCTCGTCTATGGGAGAAGCAGTTGAGCATACCGGTTAAAGGGTGCGCTCCGGAACGGACGCAGCAGGCTTGCATCTCTGATTCTGCTTTTCATAGGGTAGGCAATTCTTGGGCTGCTGTGAGTTTCCACAACTGTAAAATGGGGATGAATACCCACCAGTGAGGCTCACTGACTAAGTGAGGCGCTGTGTGCGAAGTGTCTATCACAGAGGAGGCAGGAAGGGTATGGGGTCTTC